GTCCCTGATATTCGGACACCACTGTGCTTGCCAAGGGGGTGGGGACTCTCCTCCCCTCAGTCCAGACTCCCCGCATTCCAGCTGAGAGGCTGAGATGTGCCCACCTTCCAGCAGAGGGCAGTACCCCAGGGGAACCAGAGCTTCTCATCAACTTTCTGCAGCCAGAGTTCAGGCAGCTGGCCCACACGGACAAGCTGTGCTCATCACTGCTGTCCTCAGGGTAGGGGGATGACAGGGCTCTGCCTTACACCCACTAGAGCTGCTTGTTCTGCTGTGGCTTTTGGCCCCAGGCTGCTCACGGCCACTTGTGCCCGCTCCTGAAGGGCTGCTTTAGTTAGGTCAGAAGCCCTGGGGAAACCCACAGTTCCCTCCATCTCCACAGATCCACCCACTGCCATGCAGCTGACTCCGACTTGTAGCAACCCTATAAGACAGAGTAGAACTGTCCCATAGGGTTTTCAAGGCTGTGAATCTTTACGGGAGCAGACTGCCACTTCTTTCTCCTGAGGAGCGTCTGGTGGGTTCGAACTGCTGACCTTTCAGTTAGCAGCCAAGTGCTTTAACCACTGCGCTACCAGGGCTCTTCTTCACAGACAGCAGTACTTTAAATCTACTTGTCTGAACTATGTAATGGCGAGCTGTGACAATGAGCCTTGACGTGTCTTCATCCTGTCTACAGAAAAATGCACACATGCATGCACATCCACACAATCTTGAACACAATTCCAGGGGCTTCTGAAGTTCCTGTTAAGAACTTCTACCATAATAAAGAGTCCAAGCTAACAGTTACTGATATTCTGTGCCAGACACTGTGCTAAGCACTTCACACGGATTGTGACATATATCAGTAAGGGGGATGTGCAACATGGACAACTTATGGAATCTTCTCCATCAGAACTTAAAAATAAACCCCGTTGCCGATTCCAACTCATAGCAACTCTGTAGGACAGAGTAGAACTGCCCCATAGAGTTTCCAAGGCTGTAATCTTTTTTTTTTTTAAATATTTTTTTCCATACAAAAATTTATACATACATTGTTATGTGACTCTAATTGCTCTCCCCATACTGTGACAGCACACTCCTCCTTTCCACCCGATTCTCCATGTCCATTCAACCAGCTCCTAACCCTCTCTGCCTTCCCATCTCATCTCCAGACAGAAGATGCCCATTTAGTCTCTTGTATCTACTTGAGCTAAGAGGCACACTCCTCACGAGTATCACTTTAT